GAGGGGGCTGAGAGGTGGTGTGGTGTTTGTCTCGGCAAGAATAGATCGGCAGCGAGTGTGGGATTGGCTAGGCGACATGCATGTTGATAGGCAGAGAAAGTTTGTGTGTACATCTAGCTACCAAAACAACCAGACAGACAGAGTTTTGCGTTGCTGAACTCTATGTAGACTTACTTGTGTATGGCGACGGATGAACTGTTAAGGAAGGGGCGCAAGGATGGATGTATATCACCCAAATGCAGGCAGGCAGGCAGGCAGGCAGCACGAGCGATCGACACAGCGGCAGTGCGTGTGTGTCGAACCAACACACATCCGTCCACCGTCCGTCCAGCAACCCATTATCCAGTGCGTCCACACATCACATGCACAATGACCATGATTGATCACTCGCTGCGGCCCTCCACAGTCTCCGACACCTGCATGGCATGGCATGGCATGGCATGCACACCAACGACGACAATAAGAGAGAGAGAGACATCCCCCCAGCCTACTGCGTATGTACCATCATAAGCAGGTGGTTCATCTTGTCGACCTGCAGCTCCTCAAAGCTCTTATCCTTATCTGCGTCACTCGGAACCTAAACACACAAACATACACACACATAGAAGCATCCACCCTCTCCCAAAGCAGTCTGATGTCTGATGTCTCTGTGTCTGATTGATTTACTGACTGGCATTTTTCTGAGGTTTGGTGAGAGTTTGAGGCAGTTGATGCCGCCGCGGTCGTCCCCCACCAGCACAATCGGGTGCACGTCATTGAAACACAGATGCGTCAACTTGGCGCGCTTCACCACCTGCACAAGCACAGAGTGCAGCCCAGCCCGTTTCTCTCTATTGTCGGCTGGCTGGCTGGCTGGCTGACCTTCTGGTCACAGATTCTGTCGTGTCTGTTGACGTGCAGGTCGTAGACATGCACCTACAGACAGACAAACAGACGGACGGAGAGACATGAATGAAGTGCTCTCACGTCTGGCTCTTCTTGCTCTTGGCTGGTTTGCTGGCCGATTGACTGACTGACTGACTAACCACTCCGTCGGCAGTGGTGGCCGCAAAGACGGTGGAGGCGTAGGGCGCCCACGCAGCGTCTCCCACAGCCTGCAGGATGAGCGATGGATGCACACACAGCCGTGCACACGAGCGCGTGCGGGTTCAATATTGTCTGTGTGTCTGTCTGTCTGTGCGTGCGTGCGTGCGTGTGTGTGTGGTTGCATGCCTGTGCGAGGTCGAACGTCATGATGGGCGTCTTCTGTGTGTGGTCCCACAGCTTGACTGTCCAGTCAGCACTCGCCGACAGGAAGATCCGCTGATGGTATGTGTTCCACTTGACCACATACACTGCCATGCTATGACCTGCCCACACACTCACACACACACACACACACACATGGATGGATGGATGGATGGAGGAAAGGTGGACCCTCATAGGTCTCGAGATATTGTCCGCTGTAGGCCTTGGAGCACTTATGGATCTTGCCTTCCTCGGTGCCGACCAGAAAGAGGTGTGACGAGAACTTGTTGAAGTCGAAACAGGTGCCGCCGCCCAGACCAGAGAGCGCCGTGTCGTCCTCCTGCCCGCCCTTGCCGCCCGCGTTGCCCACCAGCTTCAGCTCCATCACCTAAACGCAAAAATACCCACACGACACACAGAGGGTGCGTGCCGTGCCTGGCATGTGTGTGCGATGCGATGCGATGCGATGCGATGCGATGAGTAGGTGGGTGACCTCTTCGGGTTCGAGTTTGTTCTTCATGAGTGCCCATGAAGTGACGCGGCCATCGGATGAAATCGAGTAGAAACACAGATTGCTCGATGCCTCGTCATCGTGCCAACGGACTGCATCAAGTAAGGAAGGAATCGATCGATGGATGCGCAAGAAAGAGAGACACTGTGACGTGACGTCCTAGGTATGCTACGCTACGTACGGTACCTTCCCAGACGGGGTCTGTGTGTTTGTTTGATCGGATGGTCGACTGGTAAAGCGGCTTGCGGTTCTTGCCACGCACGTCAAACACCAGGACCTACACACAGACACAGACGGCAGGCAGGCAGGCAGGCAGGCAGGAGGTACCAAGTCACACATTGAAATCGGTGTGTGGGTGTGGTTTGTATGTGTGGTGTGGTGACTGACCGTTCCGTCGTAGAGGCCGACGGCAAGGAGCGATGGAAACTGCGGATGCCAGTCCAGACAACACACACCCTGATCGACCGATCGAGGAGAGGGAGAGAGAGACACACGTATGTATACTCAGCTGGCGTTGTGCCCTTTTGGCTGGCCTGTGTGAGGTGAGCCCCTCCCTGGCCGACCGAGTCGGTGTTGAATGAGTACTCGGGGTGTCGTGTGTTCTTGAGTGTGTAGCAGCATATCACACCCGTCCCCTGCTTCAGAAAGTCATAACTACCTGCAAACAAAGACACACATATAGATCAAGAGACAGACAGACACACGTGATGCATGACATGAAGCCCTGACAAATATGAGGGCCGAGTTGCTGACCGAATCCGACAGCAAAGAAGTCCTTGTACTGCGGGTTCCACTTGATGGCGGTCACCTGCTTCCGCTTTGACTTCTCACTCGCAAAGCGCCACAGAGGCAACAACGTGCCTGACCGACACACAACACACAAAAGCGGGCAGAGAGGAGAGGACGAGAGGGAGGCGGTAGCTGACAGAGCCATATATATGTTCACGTGTCACACGTGCGTTGGATCGATTCATTCCTCACCGTCTCCGTCTCGGTACTCGTCCGATCTGTCTTCATAGTATTTGAAGTCGTGGTAGATCTCATTGTCGCTGTTCTGATTCACCAAACGCTCCGTTATCTATATGCAGACAGACATGGACACACGGCTGGATGGATGGATGGACACAGGCTGGATGGCTGGATGGATGGATGCGGATGCATCATGTACCTACCCACCCACCACACAGCTAGACGTCGAGAGCGTGCTACCTACCTACCTTGATGAAGTATTTCATTCTGTCCGAGTAGAGCTCCGACTCCTTCTTTTTCTTCTTGGGCTCCTCCTCGGCGGCCTTGTGCGACTGTCATAGAGACATGTCAACACACCAGAGGTGCAATCAATGCAGTCACATGAGCTCCCTCCTCTTGTTGTCTCCCCTCCCCCCAACCCTCACTCCACTCACCCCTCTCTCCTTCTCCTTGGCCTCTCTGGCCTGCTGTGCCTGGATGTCCTCCATGTACGTGTCGTATATCAGCCACTGGGTCACTGCAGGTCAGGTGCAAGTAAACGAGAAGGTAGGCAAGCAGAAAGAAAGAGCACCCACAAATGAATGAGACAAAGGAGACAGTCCCGCATCGCATGAGAGGGCTACCTACCGGTGCCCGAGAAGTCGGTGGAGGGTGGGGGCTCCGTCGATACGCCACGCTCCCTGCACACCATACGCACACACATACGCACGCACACGCACACACATGTACAGCCAGGTATGTGTGACTGTCTCTGTCCGCAGCGTGTGTTCACCTCAGGAGTGCGTTGAATGACTGCGATGCCCGGTCTGAAAAGTTGAACTGATTGCGGAGCAACACCTGCTGAGACTCGTCGAGAGCTGAACCAAGACGACACACATAGACAGGCAGCAGCATATGAGCAAGGGAGACTTGTGTTGTCTCTTCTGCTGCCGACGCTGGTCGGGGTCCTGCTCGATCTCCACATCGACGGCCTCGGCCTCCTCGCGTTTCTTTCTCTCCTCCTCCTTGATGCGCTGCATCTCCTCCTGATCAGCTGCCTCCGGACTGTCCTTGAAGAAAATGCGCCTGCACACATTCACACAAACAGACAAGGAAGGGGCCCTGACTCAGTGTGTCTGCAGATGTGTGGACGGCTTTAAAGCTGACTCTTCAAGTGAGAAGTGGAAGACGCTCTGGTCGACTTGGTCGTCCCGCTTGAACTGCCGGTCCTTGAACGAGAACTGAGTGATGTTCTGTGGCGCACGGGGGTTCTGCGGGTACAGCACCCGTGGCGGCATCTCCTTGTCCAGCTCCTCCGGCGTCAGTTCCAGCTGATCCTGAGGCTTTACCTTCACTATCACCTGCATGTATCATGCGCCATCGATCACACACACACCCTCATTCATTGAGCAGGCAGGCTGCGTCAGTGTGCGTACGGGCATGTTGTCATAGTCGTCTCCGGCGTCTCCCTCGTCGGGCGCCTCATCGGCGTGGCCTGGCAGCGGGGAGCTGCGCTTCCCCTGAGACTCACCCTTGTTCTTCGGGGCCATGATGGGATGGACCGATGGAAGGCACCTGCGAGAAGAACAAAGACCAAGGCGGAGAGTGCATGCGTCAGGAGAAGGTGCCTCCTCTCTCTCACAGGCTCGTACGGCGAGGACTCGGAGGAGGTCCCTTTTGCCGATTGCGAGCTTGAGACTTGGGGGCCCGGTGGGGGCCAGACGAAGATCATGGTGTCGCGTGCAGTGATCGCGTTCATTATCAGCCAGCCCCTTCTGGGCTCCGTCGCCGCAGCGCCTTCTCCGTCGACCCCAGTGCAGAGTGAGATATGCGAAGCACAGAGGTCCATATGCCTTTTTTCTCTGCGCAGGCAAGTATCTGCAGGTGAAGGGCGAGGAGGTGTATGACACGTTTGTCAAGCCTGCAATAGATGGTGGCGCCTCAAAGGACGACGTGGCCGACCTGCGGATGCTGGCACAGGTAAGACGCGTCCCTGTCCAACCAATGCGTGGAATATGCACTGCCCTCATGCCTTGCAGAGCCACGCTGAGAAGGTTGCCGAACACGCCTACCTCATGGACACACTCACCCATCTCATCCTCAACACCGACAGGTGATCAGGCCCGGCCATGAGCACTGTGTGTCGTCTTGTCACACATGGGTCCCATCTGCCGGGTGCAGGTCGGACAAGGCACGAATGGATGGCGTCACTGACCGCCTGCAGGAGCTCACCGACCTCATCGCACTGTCGCAGAAGTCAGTGCATGCGACTCAGACAGATAGTGGCGACCAATGAATGCATTCACATGTGTGTCGATTGCATGTACGTATCATGCAGGGAGCTGGACGAGAAGACATCCAAGTGGCGGGGCAGGGGCGAGGAGGAGACGACTGGCGCTTCTCAGACAGAGACCAGAAGCGAAGAGCCTCTGCCAGACGCCCTCCATCAACACAGAGAGTCAGCAGAAAGATATATGCCTCCCTCGACACCAAGAAGAGAAAAAACAAAGGGCCTGTCTTCTGCAGGCGTCTGACCTCATATTGGGCGGGCCGTCGCGATGACCTGAAAAAGCGCGTCAACTCCCTGATGACCGCCCTGTCGCAGAAGGGCCTGCCTGCGGCGGAGGAGATGGACATCATGAAGGGTGTGGGCGATGTGGAGACGTCGCTGGTGTGTGTTCGGGAGGGTGCGTATGTCATGAGCATGGACACAAACCTCTGCGTAGCGTTGAGGGGCGTGGCGTGTCTGTGGGGCGCATGAAATGGCCGGTGTGCTTACTGCGAGCTTTTCTCTTCAGCTGGATCTGTTCGCATCGCAGGAGGACCACGAGCTGCAGACACTCAAGCTCTACGCCAAACTGAGGACAAGCTCTCCGTACGCGAGACACGGGATGAGAAGACAAATGTCTGTAATAAATAGTCCCTGTCTCCTCTGTCTCTCGTATGCCAATCTGCCACGCAGGCCAGATGTTGCGGTTGCGGATAGAAGGAGACTTGACGGCATTCAGGACGACGCACGTAGCAGGTGAGCGGCTGGCGGGCGGGCGGGCGGTTGTGTGGATGCTGTGGTGATGAATGTGTTGATGCATCTAGGTCGCGCGAGTCGGAGCTCCAAAGAGAGCTCAATCGTCTGCACGAGAGGATATTCGCGCCATCCAAGTATGAGGAGCTTTGATGTTCCCAGCCAGCCCCCTGCAGGCGGCAAGGAGTAGGTCAGATAATAGAGAGTAGACATGTGACTGGACTGACAAGAGAGAAGATCGCTGCATATGTTCACAAAACACGCGCCTTATGTGTGCGTGTGTGTGTGGACATGACCCACATGACCCACATGGTACGTACGAGTCCTGACCTGACACACCATCAAGAAATATGTCCCCTTTTTGTCTGATGTGCCAAGCCAAGCCAAGCCAAGCAGGCACACAAACAAGTCCGACACCATCCATCCACCCATTCGGTCATGCGTACTCGAATACTCACTGATTGGCCGACTACATGTGTCTACAGCCCCTGCACCACACCACAACTCACACGCTCCCCCAGACAGATAGAACCAGCCCAACAACATTGTCATGCACTCAGAGAGACAGAGAGATATTGGCGTATGTACGTACGGCCCCAGTCGCAAAGACCCCACAGCCAGTCAGCCATCCAGTCACTTGTCATTGGGCTGGTCTGTCTGTCTGTCTGTCTGTCGACCCGCAACACAGACACACAGACATATGCCCCCACATGCTCACACAACACAGACACAACCTCGACGCTGGTGCCGTCCAGCCACCATTGGCCTCGCCTCGCCTCGTCCCGTCTCGCCAAACCCCGCCGCTGACTGGCTTGGATCGAAATGACGGACGGCAGACTGCACACATACACGAATACACATGAATGCGTATGGGTGCATTGCATTGCATGCCCGCTGGTCGGTCGGTCGATCGATCTTCCCTCCTCTTCTGTTGTCTCGGCGCGCGTTGCGTGCCGAGCCATTCATTGGGAGGGAGACCGAGCCACAATCACTTACTTATTTACTGACTGACCCCGACAAGAAATTCACGAGCTAGCTAGGGCTGGGTGGAGGAAAGCGAGGGAGGAATATATATGGGCGTCGTGTATGAAGGTATGCAAGCATGCATGGAGTGGGTAGGTAGGTATGTAGGTGAGTAGGTAGGTAGGTAGGTAGGTAAGGCAAGAGAGAGAGAGGGCTGCCCAGGCCACATGAATGAGTTGGTCCACGCATGTATATACTGATTGGGAGATCGATCGATCGATACATGCGGTGTGTATGTATGTATGCAGGCAAGTGTATACGTGTCAGTCAGTCAAAGTTAGTTTAGTTTTGTTCACCCCCAACAGCTGGCCTAGCCTAGCCTAGCAGCATGAACACACACACACACACACACACAACCCCTCACGCGCACACAGACAGACAACCACACGTGGATGGATGGATACATCGCAGAGAAAAAAAAATATGTCCTGCCCCTCCGGGATAAAGGCGCACAGAGCACCACCACCCAGCCACACCACACCCACTGCCACACATCCATAGACAAGCAGTCACTCAGTCAGACAATCAATCAATCAATGAATCGCCCTGCTTCACCCATCCATCCATCCACGAGAAACTGCCCTGCCCGTGTCAATGAAGCAACAGGTGAGTGGCATGTCTGTACTGTGTGTATGTATGTGCCAAGCTGGCCAACTGCCCCTTTCCTGACCCCCACTACCCCCAGCCCATCTCGCCCCGCCCCGCCACGCCCCGCCCCATCTCCCCCTCTCCGCTCCCCTCAACTCCACATACGGTTTCGCACGGCAGGTACAGATGAGCTTTTGGCGCTCTCTGTATATGCCGTGCCATGCAAAGCGCAAGGGCTGACGAAAAGCGGATGGTGGATGGATGGATGGATGGATGGACGCTACCACATCCACCACATCCACCACATCCATCACATTCGCATATCATCCATCGCAGCACCCGAAAAAGAGTGAGAGAAAGATCGCTTCATGTCTGCAGCTATGCATGCAGCACAAAAGGCATCCATCTATCATTCAACAACTCGCGCTGCTCATCATTGCGCACCGCCATCGTCAGCATCCGGAAAGATGGAATGCAGGCAGGCAGGCAGGCAGGCGGACCGACGGACACAGGTGTCCTGCCTCGCTCGCCGCTCGTCAGTGGGCCGGCCGGAGACAGACAGGCACAGAAGACGTCTAAAAAGACCAGCCAGCCGGGCACACCTGGACCGATTGACAATGGGCGTGCTGTCCGGCTAGCTGGCCGGCCGGCCAAGCGGCGCAAGCAACAAGATAATAATAGGCTGACTCTTAAGAGGAGGTAGGTCATATTCACAGCCACAGCCACAGCTATACTCAAAGCTGCCGCTGTCTTACCCCACACGCACACACACACGCAGACAGACAGACAGACAGACTGAGACAAGGCGGAGCAACCCACGAGAGTAGTGCGTAAGTAAGTCAAAACTGCCACTTTGTCACCAACGATTTTCCGTGGCGTGCCGTCCAGACAGACAGACAGACGTGCAGGAGTGGGTGCGTCGTGCACTCAGCTACACACCCACCCACCCGCACCCACTTGACCGACGAGCCAGCATCAGCACGCCTTCTTCAGAAGGACGACGTAATCGCTCAAATCTGACCACCAAACACGCCCGTCACGCAGAGAAAGGCACTAGTGCGATCCCTCTCTCTGTGCCCCGCGTGTGATGTGCACGTGTGTGTGTGTGTACCATGTCTCCAGCTAAGTCCGAAAAATTCGCTGTGTTTCTCAAGGAAGGCCTGCAGCGTCACCTTTGCCCTCAGCAAATATGTCAGGGCGGGCTTGGACAACTTGCCAAAGAGGTCGTCTACAGCCCTCACCTGCACACACACGCACAGGTCAGGTAAGCCAACCGGTGTACATGGATGTCTCGATGGTGTGTGTATGTCAACAGTGGCCCGGCCCACATCCATACATCGAATGGGTGCTGCGGGTCGCCAGGCCTCAGCGCATCCACCAACTCCCACAACACCTGCACACACACGTTCCAACATCCTTCGCTCTCGCACTAACAGGTCTCTCCGTTCTGTTTGTCCGCTCACTTGTTCCTCTGTGAACCTCTGCTGCTCTAACGCCCCGCCGGCCGCACCGCCGCCAACTGGAGGGTGGTGGTGCTGCTGGTGTTGTTGTTGCTGTAGCGGCTGGTGCTGCGCTGCAAAGCCGTACTGGCGGCCGGAAGCGACGGCAGTCGGTGGCTGTGCAGCGGCTCCAAGAGCAGGCTCGCGATAGCTCCCAGCAGCCCTGGCTGGCACGCCGCCTGCTCTGGACAGGAACGGGTTCCCGTCGGCAGTCTGTGTGGTCCCCCAGCTTGACTGCACGGGGGGCCGCTCGCCAGCCACACCGTCGCCACCACCTCTCGCTGACGGAGCAGCACCCGACACACCGTGGTAACCCACCTGAACACACACCACAAGCAGGCCAAGATGAGCGCGGCACCCCTGGGCATCCGCCTCTTGCTCTGATGCTATCCATACCTGTCTCTGCACCGCTGAGTGCTTCGCGGCGGCACCGGATGAAGTTACGTACCCACCACCACCACCACCACCAGACCTACACAGCCACAAGCACGACCCCAGAGCAGTCACAATGAGTCTGGCTGCGCGAGTTAATCCGTTGGTTCACTCAGTCACCAGTGGTCGTCGCTTGCAGCGGGCGCCCTGTCATGTTCCCCGTCATAGGTCCCCATAGGCCGGTATGGCTGCCCCCAGATAATCGGCCCCTGATGGCCACTCAGAGGGGGGTATGCCCGATCCTGCACAAAGGCCGGATAGGCCGACTGGTGCCGGGGGGGCGGTTCCACAGGAGGGGGGGGCGGCGGACGATTCACACTACTAGTGGTGGTGCCAGGCGTGACAGGAGCTCCGAAGCCTGGAGGGGGCGGCGGGCGACCGCCACCACCGCCCTGGTGCTGCTGCTGGGAAAAGGATGGCACATCCAGGTCATTGTACTGTCTCCGGCGGTCGTGAGGGGGTGCGGGCTGGGTCGTCTGTTGTGGGGGGCGATACTCATCGTCACGCTTGGCAGCCTGACGCAGCATCCTGAACAGAACACACACAGACCAACACGAAGCGTGCGTACGCATCCTGCTCCTCCTGGCTGGCTGGCTGGCTGGCTGCCTCACCCACCCACCCACCTGTAGACGGCGGCGTGCGCCTCGGACGTGCCCGGGACGAACGAGCTCCTTTGTGAGTGGTCTCTCCTATCCACAGCACCAGGCTGATAGAGCCGCCCGTTGCCGTCACGGTCTGCGGTCCCGCTCGAGTCCAGGTACTCATCCCACACTGGGTCGCCGTGCTTGCTCCGAGGCCGGAGGCTGATGGCCTCTTCCCAGTAGGGGTCGTGCCTCACTGCTGCAGCAGCAGAACGGAGAGGGGGAGCCGGCCGTTGCTGCTGCTGCTGGGTGAAGCCAGAAGGGGTTGGGCGGTCCAGCGCCGCACCAGCAACATATGGGCGGTGTGGCTGCTGCTGCTGCTGCTGTTGGCTGCCGACCACCAGAGACTGCTGCTGGAGCTGCAGCGAATAGCCGGCTCCTCCCCGCTGGGCCTCACCTGGGCGAAATGGGGCAGGGGGTGGGGGCGGCACGCCGTATCCTCCCTGCACGAGACCGTCATGCTCCTGTGGCCGCTGCTGGGAGGCATATGGGAGGACGGCGTCACCCTTTATGTGCGCATTGCGGCCGGCGCCTAGTCTGTCGTCGACGGATCGGTCTGTGGTTGCGGTGTCTGGGCGTGGGGGGAGGGGAAAGTTGACGAGGGAGCTGTTAGAGCTGTCGCCATTGCGGCTGGACCACATGCGGGGAGGCGCCAAGAAGACCTCAATATATCGGCTCCCTGAGGACACACACGAGCCCCATTTGCCGAGAAACGAGTGAATGCGCCAGTGGGTCGGCCTCACTCACTCACCCATGGTCTTGCAGTGGAGGCTCTGCTGGGCTCCGACAGCTTCCTCGTGACCCCTGACAAACACACACCGAGGAGTGTCCCTGTGCTTCGTCCCCCTGTCGGCCCTCCCAGCCCTTACACACACTCACCGCATCTTGACGATGGCCTTGCCCGACGGTCGGCCGTCAGGATTGAACAGCAGCCGCACACCGTCGGGCAGAATGTTGAGCGCGTGCTCGTCAAAGAAACGCCTGACGTCCTCGGCAGAGGCCCCGAACGGGATGCCCCTCAACCGCAGCACAGATGACCGGTTCACAGTGGGGTCGCCCAAGACGGAGCTGCCCGTGCCGTCTGAGTGGATCGACCGCGCAGTGCCGCCGTCGATGGACCCCTCGCCATAGAGAGAGAACGCCCCGTTATTGCCTCCCCCACCTGTCGGGACGTTGTCCGCAAAGGAGCTGCGGCCCGACAGGGGCGTCCAGCCGGACGGCTGGCCCCTCTCCACCACCCTCTCAACCATACTATGCCCGGCAGACAAGATGCCAGGCGGCACGCCGTAAGGAGGGGGACGGGCCTCCACGGCTGTGTGGCTCTCCCTCTCAGCTGCTGCTGGAGGTGCAGGATTGGTCACGGCGGTTATGCAGTGGCTGCTGGGTCTGTCAGCGAGCTGCAGGTGGCCGGTGGCCAGCTGAGGCGGGGCGGGAAGGACGGCAGTGGGCGACGACCGCAGCGACGCCGCGTGGGGTGAGGGGTCTGACGGCGGTTGCTTGTGCAGCAGGGTGGTGCTGGCGGGAGAAGAGGGGGCCTCGTACACAGGAGGGAATGCCTTGGCGCCCTGCGGACCGCCGGGAAGCGAAGGCGGGACGTCCTTCCACAGACGAGCTGATGGCGTGATGACCGAGACGTCATCATACACCGACGGGCCGATGGGCTGCCCATGGCCTCTGCCTCTCAGCACCGTGTGTGCCAAACTGCATCCCATCATCCCCACGTCCAGCACCGAGACGCCAGTGGTCCCCCGCTCGCGAAACGCCGCGGGGCTCCTCGGCTGGCCGTCATTGGTGACCTCGCCATAGTCGGGCGGCCTCTTCACCTTGCCTGCAGCATCCTCCTGCTGCGCCTTCGGTGAGGCCAAGTTGCCCAGGGTAGGCGACGGCATTGGCGACCACTCCGGGGCCTTCTTGTGCCTGTCGACATGTCCGACCGCCGGCCGTAGGTGTGGATTGAAGGGCGGGCTGGTCGGGGGCGTGTGGACGAACAGTGGACGCTCGGCGGCGCTGGCGGGGTAAGCGGCGTGGAAGGGGGGCGGCCGCTGCGGGCCATCGTCTGCCGGGGACGGGGGAGCCTGGCTGACTTTGATGGCGGGGGACGCCTTGGCATCGTCACTGGGGGCCAGGGGCTGCTCTCTGCTGGCGTCTGGGACAATCAGCCAGGAGGAGTGCGGCGATCCCTCGCCCAGCTCCGGAGGCCTGCGCACAGACATGACATGACATGAAGACCGTCACGGAACGGATCTGTTGTTGGTCCTACACGTCAAAATACCGAGGCACATGCGCACCTGAGCTCTGTGTCCGCAAGGACGTTTGCCGGGTGTGTCGGCGACACAAGCCCCTGCTGTGGGTGCTGCTGTCCACTGATTGCCGGCTCAGCAGGCCTCTGCCAGCCCCCACGAACCTCGGCCTCCAGTGCCAGGCCGACATCTCGTGTGGTGGCCAGCCCTCCTGACCACATATTGCCCAGGGGGCCGCTGAACAAGGGAGGCGGCACCGCTGACACTGCCAAGGGCGGATGGCTGCTCGCTGACGCCGGCGGATGGTCCCAGGGGCTGGTGGTGCTTGTCGGCCCACTGCTGTGAGAGGGGGCGACTGGCGGCCCCGTGTGTTGGTCCGCCCCGATGAAGTTGGCGGCAGTGGTGATGGTCGGAAAGTGGTCCTCCTCGTCCCAGTTGAGACTGTGTGGGAGACGCGCGATGTCCTTGTCCATCGAAGACGACCGAGAGTCCCCCGCTTGTGGGAGCTGAGACGGCGGAACCGCATCCCGACCAACCTGCCTCCCCTCTGCGCCGATTTGGGCATCCTGTGCCGCTGAGTAGGCATCAGGGAACATGGTTGATGTGACGGCGCCCCAGTGATGGCTGGCAGCAAACTCTCTCTTGAGCGGCGACTCGGGCGGTGTGATGGCTCTCTCCAACGAGGGGTCCGAGCGGAGTGGGAGGGCGACCGACTGGTCAAGGGGCGGGGGCTCGGTCGGTGCCTCGTTGACAGCATCGGCTGCCGCCGCGAATGCCGGTGCCGCATTCAGAAGCTCGTCCGCCTGATGCTGCTGGTACTGATGCTGGCCTGTCTCCTGTTGGGTAGTGGCCTTGAGCAGCTCGTCTAGTGGTGCCGGTGGTCCACCGCGGGTGGGCAATCCGTCGCTACCGAATGAGGGCAGCCTCTGATATCCATGTGTGGCCACAGCATTCTCGTGGATGGTGTGCATCCGCTGCTCGTGCGCCGGGGACACCACGGCGGCATCTTGGTCCGCGGGCTGTGGCGACGATGTGGCGGGGAGGTCGTCGTCAAGTGAGTCGCTCTGGAAAGAGGCTGAGTGCTGCAGTGGGGGCGGCTTGGTGAGGGGTGATGGGAGTGGCGGCACATTCGATAGGTCGATGTCGTTGAGGGACGTGGCGCAGAAAGCCACGATCTCCGAGCCGCGGTTGCCACCGATATGGAAGAGATTTGGGTGCTGGTGCAGAAACTCCTTCAGCCTGCATCGCATCAAGCGACCAGCGGTCGGTGGTTTAACTAATGCGCTACTGTCTGTCTGTCTGTCTGTGTGGGGGGCGTGTGAGGGGGTTTGCTTGCTGACCGTACTGTACTATACCGTACCGTGTGTGGTGCTGCTTGAGGAAAATGCGTGCCTTGGGTGTGAGGCTCATCCCCAAGATGGACAGCGGGGTCTGGCGGTCTGGCGACCGGACAACGTTGCGGGCCACCTCCATGAGCAGGTGGCCGGTGGTCATGCCGCTGGTGTCTATGCGCGGCTTGCGGGAGGGCTGGGGGCTCTGGGCGGCCATCTGCACACCATTCACCAGGCCGTCAACCATAGGACTGCCCAGCGACCGCAGTCCCTCGCCATCCAGACAGGGGTCAATCTCAGCCAGCTGCTGTGAGTCCACAACGGGTGGTCCCCCTCCAGCAGTGTACTCGTAAGATGTCACAGAGGACTGCAATCATTGCAAACAGCCAGCACCAACGCAGGCAGGCAGGTATGCAATGACTGAAGGCTTTCTCTCCATTAGGTGACGTACGTGTCCCGGCGAGTCGAAGACGTGTGCCGGCGCGCTGGGCATGAGGTGGTCGGCGCCGTCGTCCCTGTCTGCTGCCGCGGCCTTGCGTCTGCCCCCGCCACAGGCGAAGATTTCGACGTAGCGAGTGGCAAACATGGCCATGTTCTTCTCCTCCAGCGCCTGGGCTGCTGCTGCCGGGTCCGTGAAATGGACGAACGCGTTGCCGGTGCTCTTGCCGTCGGCATTGTAGACGATCTGCACGCCGTTGTTCCTCAAAATATGCTCGTCGTACTCGCGGAAGAACTGCACACACACCCAACCGAACACCCCCCATATATGCGGCCAGGCATATATATCAGACACGCACCGCACGGCAATCACTCTTCCTCACTCACCTCTCTAATCTGTTCTGGCTTGGCGCTGTACGGCAGCCCCCTCAGCCTCAGTGTGGCCCTGGAGCTCCTGTGCCTGTCTCGTCTGCTCCTCTGGCGGTAGTCGTGTGGCGGACCGCTCATGGCGCCTCTCGGCGGCAGCACCGGGGGTGTGCTCAGCCCCTGGGGAATGGGCGTGCCGATGCTGGAGCAGGGCGACAGCAAAGGCACATCGTTGGCATACACCGTCTCGTGGTGGCGCTGGGAGGGCGGTTGAGGGGGTTGAGCCACACGCGACCCTGCTGGGGACGGGTGGGACACACCCGGTGGAGGCCATCTGCAGGGAGGGAGGAGGGAAAAGGCATTCAACCGTATATATGGGTTGCATAAGTAGGTAGCATGGGAGGCATGACAGTCTGCCTGCCTGCGGACCGACCGTTCGTTCTGGTGCGAGTCGAAGGCGGTGGGGGGTCGTTCGTTGACCACCCTCTCCTCTAGCACGTCGCCAGCTCGATCCTCCGGCCGCAGCTGTAATGGTGCGTCCTCACCCACCCCTTCCGGCGCCCTGTCAGTGCCAGCAGCGCCATCCAACTGCTGCTGTTGCTGCAGCTGACGGGGGGCTGCTTCTGCGTCCGTGTCATCCCTGTTTGGCGGCTCCGTGTGGGTGATTTGTTGCTGCTGCAGCTGGTTGAGGTTGAGTTGTACCAGCTCCTCGCTGCTGTCGTTGGTGTGGAGCCTGAACAGCATGGGATACTTCCGGAGAAACGAACCGATCTGCACACCTGCACACCACACACAGGGAGAGAAGAGAATGAGACGAAGAAGTGTCAATCAATCAATGACTGCCGATGTCTGTCATGACTTCTGTCTGTGCCATTTACTTCCTGAGGAGTCTTTGAGCATATCCTGGATGGAGTCGGGCAGGCTCGAGGCAAGCTCACGGCACAACACATCTGCACACACACAGTCGTGAACGATTGTGTGCATCCCGAAGCCAACAGCATGGGCTGGTCTGTCTGTCTGTCTGCACCGGTCTAGCTATCCACCCATAGATACACATACAGACACACACACACACCCCCCTACGCGCGTACCATTCCCTTTGGTCGAGTGCGCCTGCAAGCTCCCCAGGGAGAGCAGCACGTGTGACACGATGACCGTCGAGTGGTCAGCGCCGCCATGAAGCTGTGGCCCTGCGGATGGCTGGTAGGCCTCTCCCTCGTTGGGAGAAACGACCTCATGCCACTCTGCCCCTGCCGCAGGCTGGTCGTTTCCCTCGCACTCCTCGAACTTGTCACCGTCGGCGTCGCAACTCATCAGCTGCGTGTTGGAGAAGAGCGTGCTGACGCTGTCAGATGACGAATGCGAGTCGCCTTGCTGGTGGCTGAGAAGCTTGCTGTTCTCATACTCGGTAAGTTGTTGGATACTCATGAGAGGGTCATGAATTGGGTGGTATCGTGCGTCCCATGACGCAGTGAAAATAATTTGCAAAGCTCGCAGCCAAGCTCGCACTTTTGATGCGTCCACATGCTCCCAAGATTCAGTGATCTACTCTGAGCCAATGGCCGAGTCAGTGATCTATCACTTCGATGAGGAGGGAAAGACGTTTGCGGCCGCAGCGACGCCGAACCGATGGAAGGCGTATGACACCCAGACGAGCACTCTCTCCCACGAGCACCACGAGGCCGGCAGGCGCATCTCCGTCGTCAAGTTCGGCACATCTGGAGGATCTCAAGCGGACCGCTCTCGCCTGCTGATCGGCTACTCTGACGGGTGCATACACTACTGGGACCTCCTGAGGCTGGAGCGATTGTTCGATGTGTCGCCGAGAGAGGACCAAGGCCTCCAGCTCGAGGTGGCTGGCTCCACCCATCAGTCTTTGTCCCCCATTGCCGACATGGTCGTCAGCCCGGGCCAGCAGTCTTTCTTCACGTGTGGGGGGGACGGCAGTGTCAGCGAGCGGTCGCTGGGGGACGGGGCCGCCACGGGAACCATCAAGGTGGCGCGTCACGGGGTGGCCGTCAAGAGGATCGCCATCAGTCACGACGGCACCAAGCTGGCCTCCATCAGCGGGGCTGGGCGGCTCAAGCTGTGGGACCTCACGAGCTTCGACAATGATGAGAGCCAAGACACGGCCGGGCAGAGGCGGCGGATCGACGCCAAGTTCACGGGCATGCAGGCCGACGTATCCCACATCCGCTTCGCGCCCGATGACCGCTTCCTCCTCACCCTGGCCGCCGACACGAGCGTCCACCTCTGGCGGCTGCCCTGGATCAGTGATGGTGATGATGGCAGCGACGACCACACGCACAGAAACCAGCCAACTGCGCCACTGGTTTTGACCGACCACGAGACCATCATCGATGTGCGGGTGGTGGTGCATCCGATCAGCAGCGGTGTGGAGCAGGGGCAGCCGCATCAGCCGGCAGCCCAAGGCGGCGCCAGCACTAAGCAGCAGAAGAAGCGCAAGAGGGCTGCTGCTGCTGCTGCGAAGGCGGCCCGTTCTTGGGCTGACTACACGGTGGTTGGGCTGACCAACCAGGGGCGTGTGGCCCTCTGGTGGCTCGGCGGGCTCGCCATCACACTCGACACCAAAGCAGCCAAGAGACGGAAAGTATCAGCGGACCAAGATCAAGACGACCATCCAGAGACGGAGCGGCGCTCTGTGTCCTTCCTGCCCCTGGCGCCGCAGAGCGACATTTCCTGCGACTCGCAAGACAAGAAGGACCGCGTTATTGCCGTCCACGCCCCCACGCACCTGTCGCTCACCTCCCAGGAGTCGCCTCACATGGACATGCTCGTCGTGCGGGGCTTCAGGGGCCAGCCGACGTTTGAGCGGGTGCGTGTCGATGCCAAGGTGGAGACGACCAGCACCCAGAAGCAGCCTGCCGTCCGGTGGGAGACGGTCTCTCTCGCCCCATGCAGGGCACTCGTGGCTTTGGAAGATCAAAAGGGAGAGGGGGCAGCAGCAGGCGCGGGCGGTGAGAAGGGGCGGCGTGGTGGGGGCGTGGCGTTGGGTCCTCTGGACGTGCGGGCGTCTCGCCCGGCGGCCAAGATGACTGAGGGGGAGGGCAAAGTGCTCGAGGCTATGGCTCACAAACTCGCAAAGGTACGCAGCCATGGAGGGAGGCTCTAGGTAGCGATCGATGTTGCGTACGTGTCTGTGCTGTGTGTGTGCCTTTGCTCTGCTTGCAGCAGAACAAGTCCAAGAAAGGTCGTGTGGCGGTCACGTCGATGGCCAGGTGAGGTGAGGAGTGGGCAGAAAAGCTAGCTTCCAATCCTCTGTGCTGGCTGCAATGTTGGCTGGCTACAGTGTCGTGCGTCAGGCGCTGACATCGGATGATCCGCAGATGCTCGAGTCAGCACTGAGGAGCAAACTAGAACCTGGTCTGGTACACACACACGTGTGCTGTGTGCGCCTCGCTGCGAAACGAGTCCATTCTGGCTGTTGCCCCCTGTGTGTCGTTGGTGTATCATGGTCTGTCTGTCTGTCTGTCAGTGATAGCAGCCACTCTTGCCGAGCTACCGTCTGACCTGGTCGCCAAGCTGCTCGAACACATCACCCTGCGCATCCACGCGTAAGTGGCCGACCAGCCGATAGACAGACGGACAGACAAGGGGGGCAAGGCAAGGCAAGTGTCAATCACCAAAGGACTTAAAGGAAGTGTGTGTGCCCCCCTCCCTCCCCGTCTCTGTGGCTGTGCTGTGGTGTGTGCAGGAAGCCGATGGGCATGTTTGAGCACCAGAAGTGGCTGCGTGCAATCCTCACCAACCACACGGGCTACCTCATGACCATGCCGCACTGCAGACCGGTGGGTAGCCGACCACACACCTGCACACACACATCGAACACGTGCAGGTGTGCGTTTGCCCGTCTGCCTGCCTGCCTGCCTGCCTGACCCTGCCTGGGTGTGTGGGTGTGTGTAGATGCTTCACTCGTTGTATGAGCACATCCAGCAGCGGACGGCTAACCACCCGACGGTCGTCAGGCTGTACGGCAAACTGGACCTACTCCTCAACCACACCCGCACCGTCGTCGCACAACAGAAGGGTCAGTCAGGCAGTCAGGCAGTCAGTCAGTCGCTGTGCACACGCATGCATCACGCATCGCATCAGCCCCTCTCCCTCCCTCTTCATGTCATGGAGGTCTGCAGACCTGGCCCAGGAGCGTATGGAGCGCCGTCAGGCCCTGGTGGACTACAAGGAGGGTGAAGAGGCCAGGAGAGCTTTGCTGGACGACTCTCTCATCCGAGACCTGGACCTGGAAATCAATGGCGCTGCCACCCACGAGGACAACGAGGAGGAGGAGGACGAGGTGGGCGAGCAGTGGAGCGACGAGAGCGGCGAGGGAGATGACGAAGACATGGATGACGGGGATGGGGAGGGGGGCGAGGGGGAGGGGGAGTGGAGTGAGGATCAAGATGAGGAGCATGACGACAACGGTTTTGACGAGCGGGACCAGGAAGCGGAAGACGATGAGGCGGAAGAGGAAGAAGACTGACGCGTGCCATGCATGAGGTGCATTTCCGTGTGTGGTGTGTGGTTTAAGGCAGGCTGTGACAAAGCTTGGCTGTGTGTGTTTTGTTGTGACCTGCTCGTTGAGACGTCCGTGACGTACATATGCCTGCCTGCCTGCCTCCATCCATCCATGCATGGCCATGGGCGGACGAGATGGTTCCAATGAATGCGAGTCGGTTGGGTTGATGGCCAGATGGGGGACTTGTTTGATGTGGTGTTGCAGCGGACAGACAAATGGGTCAAGCTTACTCATCATTAATATTATTAATCATTGTCTGTCGTCACTCACTGGCAGCCAGTCAGTCCCAGAAACACGCCGATCTGATCGAGCAACACACACGCTACGGTACCTCTCTCTCTCATCCATCTCAAACGCTCTCCCCGGGACACACATGCACACGCAGCACAGCACCCCGACCGACCGACAACATGTAGGTTCTTAGGTGCGTGTGTCTGGTTGGTATGTAGAGCGATAGATCAGTGGAGACGAGACAGCCATGAGGCAGACAAACACACATACATACATACACACACCCATATATATATATGCAACCATGGGATCGGTCTCCCTCCTCTCGCTGGTTGGTTGACCAAACAATCCATTCGTTCATATGCATTGAGTTGACGACCGGCCAAAAAGCACCACATCTCACCACACCACACCCATGCGCAGATATCAGACACCTATATAGACACACACACACGGGCGGGCAAACCGATAGGTAAAGCTCATGCTCATGCTCATGTAGGTATGTACGTTTGGTTGTATGCCGACAGACACGAGCCGCACAAGGGTTGCTGACAGACCGTCTGACACACATCGATCGATCGCATCAAAAGCATCAATCAATCAAATCACCGTATGCACCGCACCACACCCACCCCACCCACCGCACCGACACACACACAGGCAGAAACCAAAAACGACATGCATGACTCACACAACGGCGAGGGGCGAGGGGACGCTCGCGAGGCGAGAAGAGAAGACAAGACAAGACAGGAAGCAAGGAACCAAAAATCATATCATCTATCTGCCCCTCTCACCCAGCTCCTCAGACAGACAGACAGACAGACAAACAGTCAAAGCGCAACGCAGCAAGCAGGGAGGTAATAAAGGAGGCATCGATCCATACATCCAGCCATCAGCGGAATCCACCGGCTCCGCTCCGCTCCCCTCTCGCTCGCACGGCACCGCACCGCACCGCACCGCACCACAGCACAGCACACGGCGACGTGCACGAATTCTCTCATCCACATCGTGTGGGGAAAAATGCAAAAACCACATCCAGAGTACCATCTACAGTCATTGTAGGGGGAGGGGGAGGGGGAGGGGGGAGGGGCCATGGGGCACGGACACGGATGCGGCTCCATCATTGTCTGTCAATGTATTGTAGCATTACGGTAGCGACACCTACGCTACGCTACAACTTGATTCAAACCCACGCGTGCGTTGAATGTCGGTCGTTTCTTTGCCTTGCCCGCCCCGGTGCCATGGATGATCGATAGGATAGATAGATAGCTGCACTCACTGACTGACATGCACATGGCAAAACCAACCCAACCAGCGGTGCGGTCAGTCACCACGGCAGCGACAGACGGGAGCAAAAGCAATAAAGGAAAAGGGAGAGGGCACGAATTCATGCATGCATATGTCGGTCCGCCTCAGCAGCTTAAACGTCAAACCGATGGATGACTGACTGACAAGGCTC